CCCCCCCCCCCCCCCCCCCCCCTACCCAAACACCGACCGCACAAACGAATAGTCCGTGCCAGTGTATGCACGTCGGCTACGGCTGACGGTTTCCGAGGACGAGGAGGCGTATTTCTTCGCGCCCAACGAGGAACCGCTGGACCGCAACAGGAGGGACTGGGTGTCGAAGAGGCGGGCCGAGGAAGCGGCCGCCAGGAGAAAGCTCTCGGCGGTGCCGACGGTATGTGCGGTTTTGGCGTGCGTTTGTGTCTGTCTGTCTGTCTGTCTGCCTGCCTGCTGTCTTTTGTCTATCGTGTTGTTGTCCGTCTCCGTGTCTGTCCGTAGGTGACACAAGTACAAGATATTACACCCACTGGACCGATTTTCACAGCTCGGTCGCTCCTCGGCAGAGGAACTGGCGATGCCAACAAAATGGCGGCGCTGGAACCGTATCGTCGAGAGCTTTTTTGAAAACGTATCATCTAAGTTTGGAACCCTGTTCGTCGTGGAGTATTGGAGCTTTCCAAATGGGTCTAGGGGGCGTGATATCTTACATCACGTACGGTAGCCTACCTTCGTGTTCCAAATTCGCGTGAACACAGAAGAGCTGCAAATTCGCCTTCGAGCGGGGCATTACACAACGGCCGAATAGCCGTCATTCGCACAACCAGGCACGACGTGATATATTTCAGAACCCCCTTCGTTGAGAAGCGCTCGTCATTGTAGCATTTTTTTTTTTTTTCTACCGTAGCACAACGAACTCATCCCTATCCACAAAGATGGAGTCCGGGATAAAGTAGCAATGAATCCATCCAGGGTTGGCGTCGTATGCAACTCCCACCGGATAGCGCGGGTTGGTGATGTGTCAATGAATGATGTATCGGTTTCTCACGAGGCAGAGACAAGAGTGATCTCGGAGAGAACACACGCGGCACGCACACAGCACGCAATCCAAGAGAGTCAAGCTCCTCGAACAGACGACCCAATCGACACGCAGCCGTCAGAGTCACACCGGGCATATCGACACCACCGGTGCCGTTTTTTTGGGGGGTCAGGCGGCGAACGGCGACGGCGGAGAGCAAAACGCCTTCGATGACGCTCTTCCCGGAGACTACTACGACGACGAGAAGGCGTCCTTCGATCTGGGAGATGATGTCGTCGGGGACGAGGAGGCGGAGGTGGAAGACGACTCGTACGCGAGCGGGGCAAGCGGCAGTGGCGGCGGCGGCGGCGGCATCGGTGGACTGGAGCAGGAGATCCAGGCCTTGGCAGGAAACCTGGACGGCTTTTCGGACGCCAGCACCACGTCTGACACTGGCGACGGCGACGGCGACGACGACGACGACGACGACGACGACGACGACGACGACGACGACGACGCGGGTGGCGCCCGGCAACAGCGGCAAGAACAGAACGAGAGCGGAAGACGCACGGCCTCCTGGGGAGCGGGGTCTTGTGAGACCGCCGGAGGCGGCGGCGGCGGCGGCGGCGGCGCTAGCAGCGGCGGCAGCGAGTTCCTCGACCCTTCCCCCCCCCTCTTCGGCACCCCCGCCCTCGAGGAGGGGCTGCTCGACCCGCCCCTGCGGCCCCCTCCCCGCCAGATCGCGGCGATCGACTTGCGCGAGTTCTTCCTGGGCTTCGACAAGAAGTGGATGGCCGGCGGGGTCGCCCTCGCCTGCGGCGCCGGGTCAATCTCCATCCGGGACCTCAGCGAGAGCGACGGCGGCGGAGTGGCGGCGGCGGCGGGCGAAGACTTGCCCGGGGAAGACAAAGACAATAACGCCAAAGGCGACGGTGGCGGCGGATTCTCGTGGTCCGCGAAGGAGGAGGACGGGGTCGAGCTCGTCAGCCCCCTC